GTTTTCGACCAAAAAAACTTCGCAACAAAAAACTTGATAGTATTAAAATCTCCTAGTTGTATCTAATTGGAGGTTTGAATTTATTTAGGAGACCACAAAAATTAACTTTGACGAACTATTCCATACAGCTGCGGACGCGCTGTATATTGGGTCAAGGAAGTATTATAAACGAAACCTCTAGTAATCATCGAGAAATTAATTTTTATAAAGTTAGTCGGATTCTGAGTAAACGCATGCAACGAAACGAGTTTTTCGGCGTATAATTTCCTTATTTTTATACTGCGACAGCGGTGAACTTTCAAACATGTTTTATAAAGTTTCGAAAACAAGCATGCAAAAAGAAAAAATTAGAAGAGTTTCAACGTTACCACTTTCCTGTAACAAAATCACTATCGTAAAATTTTGTTTTTAAGAACAAGTCCCTATCTTGTAACATTCTCAGAGGCTAAGTGGTTCAGAAGTTGTAAAAATTTTATTAAAAAAGTTCTAAGAAAGCGACTTTTGGTCGATCGGGGATATTGTTATCATGTGTTCTATTTGTTAACACTGATACGTTTCAGCGCATTCTATAACATAAAAAGTCATTTTGAACTTTAAATTTTAGATATATAAAAAAAATCAATGGAGGACTGGAAAAGAGACCAATTTGGTTGTGCGGGATAATTCGCCGCGCTGAATACATCGCATTACAATTTCAGAATCATAACTAAAAACTCGAAAGCGCGCAGAAATTATTTCAGAGCAAGGCCAAATTGACATTTATGTACCCTCAAAACTTTAAAAAAAATATCGCATTCAAAATATCTTTTTTAATTCAGGTAGTCATTATCTTTTTTGGGGAATAAAAGTTTTTTCATAAATTTTTTTTTCGATGAGCAAACAACTGACTGAACAAAGAAACCACCATAAGCATTAATAACTGGCTTATAATCGTATTTTTTTGAGGCCAAAAAGAGTAATTTATGAATTGAAAAAGGATTTCACAACAATGACGTTCTCTTTGTTCTACTTTTTTTTCTTTCGTTTTCTTCGATCGTTTCTATGAAAGTTTAAGATTTTTAAAGACTCTGTAATCCAGGAACAAAAAACACAGAATTGTGCGCCTATCCAGTGCGCAGTTTGACCTCGTAATGAAATTGGAACAAGAATTGATTCGTATGCCATACTTATATAGTTCCACGCTGTCCTCAAATGAAAAACTTTTACGTTTCATAAAATGAAAAAACCAGTTAGAATTGAATTCTAGGCCAAACCTTTGAAACTAGGACAACCGAAAAAAAGGAAAGTTTCCAAGTGATGAAAACACAAGCTTTCGAAGCTTTCGTTTTTTGACAAAACTGGCATAAAGCATCTGATTATTGGTAAAATACTAGTAAAAATTGACCAATCTTATTAAATATATGTGCCAGAAAAACAGTCTTTTTAGTTTTGAATATGGCAAGAAGCTGAAAACAATAGTAGTGGGAAAACATTTACTCTACTACTATTTTATTGAAAAATTCTGATGGAGAAGTGTTTTTGGTTGTCGAAGGCGTTTTAGTAAAACCACTGATTATGTGCTTCAGTTAAGCTTGGTCGTTAAACACTTGTTGACTGACCTCGAGTTTGGTAGACTTTTCATATCCAAGCATCCGTCAATTTTGAGTTTGCTAGCAGTTTTAGTCACCATAGGACATGGTCAAGTTTTTAACTAAAATTTTTAAATCATATGAAAAAACTGACTCGTTCTTAGCTGTTGGAATATTATCATTGTGAAGCTCTTCATTCTTTTAGTTTTTGATGACTCGTTCTGAGCTTGTAATGATTTTCAACGTTTCAGCTGGACTCCTCAGGGGGCTGACTTAATTCAGTCGTAATTATAGTTTGATGTTTTAGGGTCAAGACTAAGGCCAGCGTGAAGGTAAACAGGCTCAGCAAGATTTTTGGCTGAATCTTCAAGTTATTGTTGGAATGGTAAAGGTAGCTAGCTGCTACTTTTTTTATTCTAAAACTTAATGAAGTGAAGACAAAAAAACTAGTTTGGATAATGAACTGAAATGAACTCAGCTGACTGGGGGTGGGTTGAGAAATACAGGCAGTCCATAGACGTCCACACAGTTATCAAGAACTAAAAGATCGAGAGATATTTACAAGAGTAAACTTTGAAAAAAATTCATTTTTGGCCGCCCAGTTTGATAGTTTTTTATCTGAAAATTTTACTTAATAAGTTTTCCGATCAAAAAAATTTCCCAACAAAAAACCTGATAGTATTAAAAACTCCTAGTTGTATTTAATTGGAGGTTTGAATTTATTTAGGAGACCACAAAAATTAACTTTTCGAACTATTCCATACAGCCTCGGACGCGCTGTATATTGGGTGAAGGAAGTAACATAAACGAAACCTCTAGTAATCAACCAGAAACTATTTTTATAAAGTTAGTCGGATTCTGAGTAATTGCATGCAACGAAACGAGTTTTTCGGCGTAGAATTTCCTTATTTTATACTGCGACAGCGGTGAACTTTCAAACATGTTTTATAAAGTTTCGAAAACATGCATGCAAAAAAATTGAAAGAAAAAATTAGAAGAGTTTCTACGTTACCACTTTCCTGTAACAAAGTCACTATCGTAAAATTTTGTTTTTAAGAACAAGTCCCTATCTTGTAACATTCTCAGAGGCTAAGTGGTTCAGAAGTTGTAAAAATTTTATTAAAAAAGTTCTAAGAAAGCGAATTTTGGTCAATCGGGGATATTGTTATCATCTGTTCACTTGTTAACACTGATACGTTTCAGCGCATTCTATAACATAATAAGTAATTTTGAACAGACTTCAAATTTTTGATATATAAAAAAACTCAATGGAGGACTGGAAAAGAGACCAATTTGGTTGTGCGGGATAATTCACCGCGCTAAATACATCGCACTAAACTTTCAGAATCATAACTAAAAACTCGAAAGCGCGCAGAAATTATTTCAGAGCAAGGCCAAATTGACATTTATGTACCCTCAAAACTTTTTAAAAAATATTGGATGCAAAATATCTTTTTTAATTCAGGTAGTCATTATCTTTTTTGGGGAATAAAAGTTTTTTCATAAATTTTTTTTTCGATGAGCAGCAAACAACTGACTGAACAAAGAAACCAACATAAACATTAATAATTCTCTTATAATCGTAGTTTTTTGAGGCCAAAATGAGTAATTTATGAATTGAAAGAGGATTTCTCAACAATGACGCTCCCTTTGTTCTTCTTTTTTTCTTTCGTTTTCTTCGATCGTTTCTATAAAAGTTTAAGATTTTTAAAGACTCTGGAATCCAGGAACAAACAAACACAGAATTGTGCGCCTATCCAGTGCGCAGTTTGACCTCGTAATGAAATCGGAACAAGAATTGATTCGTATGCCATACTTGTATAGTTCCACGCTGTCCACTGATGAAAAACTTTTACGTTTCAAAAAAATGAAAAAAAAAACAGTTAGAATTGAATTTCTAGGCCAAACCTTTGAATGTAGGACAACCGAAAAAAAGGAAAGTTAACAAGTATTGAAAAAACAAGCTTTCGTTTTTATGTGCTTCAGTTCAGCTTGGTCGTTAAACACTTGTTGACTGACCTCGAGGTTGTTGGACTTTTCATATCCAAGCATCCGTCAAGTTTGAGTTTGCTAGCAGTTTCAGTCAGCATAGGAGATGATCAAGTTTTTAACTAGTATTTTTAAATCATATGAAAAAACTGACGCGTTTTTAATTGTTGGAATGTTATCATTGTGAAGCTCTTCAGTCTTTTAGTTTTTGATGACTCGTTCCGAGCTTTTAATGATTTTCAACGTTTCAGCTGGAATCCTCAGGGGGACTGACTTAATTCAGTCGTAATTATAGTTTTATGTTCTAGGGTCAAGACTAAGGCCAGCGTGAAAGTAAACAGGCTCAGCAAGCTTTTTTGCAGAATCTTCAAGTTTATTGATGGAATGGTAAAGGTAGCTAGCTGCTACTTTTTTGATTCTAAAACTTAGTGAAGTGAAGACAAAAAACTAGTTTGGATAATGAACTGAGATGAACTCAGCTGA